TAGACCGCTCAGTGACTTGTGCACCTGCTGTACCTGGAGAGACACAGGAGGCCATAGCCAGCCTAGTATCTGGCTTGTTTGGACCCGCGTTCAAAGTTAATTGTTGCTGGGCATCCCGACAGGGCCTGCTGGCTGGAGTTTTTTCCGCTTTAGCTTTAGTAGGGGGCTTCAATGCTGCTTCCTCAACAAGACTCTGAGCTTTCTTCTTTTTGGGGAGGTCGCGTTGATTCTTTCAAGAACACTTTGGGAGGTGATCTTCTTAAAACCTCCTTTGTCCACTCTTTTGTTTTTTGACTCGCTTGACTGACTTGTGCTAACTCCGATCACTACAGGTGCTGGGCCATGGTACAAGTCACATTATCATACTTGGTGGCTAAATCAAAGCTCCCTCACTCCTGTAGTGCTCATTTCCCTTGCATGGTATAACCAAAATCATGCCTGGTTGTTGCATGAAACCTCCGTCTTCCCTCTGTGGGGTTCACTAGCCTCATGTGTTCATCGTACAAGTTACATCATGCTTGGTTGTAGCTAACCGCTGCTCCTTTGGGTGCGCTCACTACCTTTGCAAGGTCATGACACAAAGAACATCATGCCCGTTGGTTGCATCAATTCATCCTACTGCGTCTGTAGGTTCACTAACCCGTGTGCGGTCATGCTGCGTGTAGCGGTACCCCTTTTTCCTTGGAATGTCCTTGGTAGGCTTTCCCACCCTTGCATGGGTGGTAGGAGGAGCATCATGCGCCCTCTGCAGTGCTCACTACCATTGCATGACATGGCGCAAACAACATACACCTCGTGGTTGCATTAAAGCTTGTTTCTTTTGCTGCGTTCACAAGCCTACTGCACTGTCTGTACCTTCCACGAGTAACATCATGCTGGGTGGTCGAACTGAACCTCCCCACTCCTTCAGTAGTGTTCAGTACCTTTTTGGTTGCATGGAACCTTCCCCCCTCCACCTGCTGTACTGCTCACTACATGTCTGGCTGGTTGCATCAAACTTCATACGCGTTCTGTACCCTTTCATGGTCATCGTATGCGTGACGTCATTCCTGACAGTTGCATGAAATCTCTCGTGCTGTAGTGTGCACCTGTCTCGTGAGGCTGTGGCACTTGTATACCTTGCTACTCCGTATGTAGCGACATTGTATGATGAGCGGCATGCCTGGCAGCTGCTGTTGTGTTCACTACATATGCGGGGCCGTGGTACGAATGGCATCATGCAGGTGTTTGCATCAATCCTTCCACTCCTTTGGTATTGTTCACTACCCATGTGTGGTCAGGGTGTGGGGTACCATGGTGCTGGGGGGTTGCATCGAAGCTCCCGCGTTTCTTGTTGTGTTCGCTACAATGCATGGTTGGGGAAAGGATGACATCATGCCTGGTTTTTGCATGAAACCTCAACAGTCCCGTCGCAGTGTTCACTACAGTGCCTCCATGGTCATGGCTTCGTCTTACCCGCTACTCCGTCCATGATGCTCACGACGCTGGTATGGTCATTGTGTGAATATCATGCAGCTGTGTAATTGCATTAATCTTGCCTCCTCATTTTTGTTATCAAATGGTCAAGACCTGGCTAGCTTCCATTGCCCTTAACTTGCCCCTCAATCTTATGCCGACTGCTGTATCTTGATAGGTCTTGAGAATGCCATCTTGAATGCACCCCTCTGCAGGAGACAGATGACTTCCAGAGGGCCCGGCGCAAGGTGTGGCTGAGAGTGAGTGTCTCTCGTTGCCAAGTGTGCGGTGGAGGCAGCCGAGAGCTTCAGACAAGACACGGAAGAGTCATGGCTGGCAGTCTCCAGCCACACAACCACCAAGGCCAGAAAGGAAAAGCAAACTCCAACAATAATACCCGGACATGTACAGGTGGACCCGGAAATTGCCTCCTCGGACCTGTACCAGGTGCAACCGCATCCATTCCTTTTGGCCAGTGGTGACATGTTCGGGAAATGTTGCTGTCCTGATTGCCACCAGGTGGCAGAAAGCTTGAGACGAGCTGCTGAAGACAAACTCTTGCAATCTGAACGTGATGGCCTGCGGAGTCAGCAAAGGACCCCCGCCTTCCATGTTCTTACAGGAAGGAAGGAGGATGTCTACTTGATGCCTGCATGTAAGGACACCAGCGGAATGTGTGAGTGCTTCTTCAAGCTTCAAATCCGGGGTGCTTTCAGCATGCTCCGTGGACACACTGAACAGTTCCAAGGTGCCTTGTGATCCCCCGGCATTTGATCACCTTCGAAGCCGCTTCAGTTCCATGTGAGCCCTCTGCTTTCAGGTGGGCATTGCTTGCGAAGAGGCAGATGCCGAAAACATCGCGCAGGTGTGACGCTGGACTGTTCTCGTCAGGCTGTGGGGCTCGTCATGCAGACAGTCGAGGATGAGTTTAGCTCCGCGGATGACAGGTGCCCTATTATCCACCGCATGCCAGCAGGCGCAGCAGAATTTCTTTGGTGATCCTGTCGCAGGTGTTCGGTTTCCGCAGCATGCGATGTGTCAGAGGAGGCAGTAGAAATTCCGGCAGATGATGCTGACATGGGCTTCTGAAGCAGCAGACCCGTGCCAGGTCATCAGCTGCATCATGCTGCACCTGGAGGCCTTCAAGATAAAGACAGCTCTGCCTTAGATACAACATGTGCAGTGACTCCTGTCATCATTCTTCCCTGTGGACATATGAGCAGCAACCGACAGTTGCTGTCATCTTCGCCCACGTTTAATGTACCTCTAAGTCTTATTGTTGCCTTTACATGTACAAATCTCACTATGACCATGACCCTGACTTGTGCCATTGTTATGGCAGTTGCATCTGCCATTTCAATTTCTGTTGGTACGAGTATGGTTAATCCGAGTAATTCGTGCAATGATTGCATGATTATGTTTTCTTCCTGTTGCCTTGTCTATGATTCTATGCATTTTGTATCGTCATTCTTATGAGACGTCTTAGCGCGCAACGGTCGCAGGTTTTGTTGCCTGCTCTCGCCTGGAGTGTCTTCACTTTCTGGCTTTACATCTTGCTGTCGCGCAGCATGTACTCACATCTTGCTTACCATCTATAAGCATGGAGCAGAGCATTTTCATGTTCTGATCAGTAATCGGTTGGAACGCTGAGCTCGTGCATGAAGCATGATCACATGTTCGCTCAAGATCAGGCTCTCGCATGGAGCATACTCACAGTTTGCTCGAAGTCGACCTCTCACGTGGAGCATCCTCACAGGTTGGCTTCTGGTAATGCTTGTGCATGGGGCATCGTCACATTTTGTCAAAAACTTGCTCAGTCGCGTGAGCATCGTAGCATTTTCGCGGAAAATTGCGCTCTCGCGTGGAGTGTACTGAGTGTACCCATATTCTGGATTAAATTCATGCTCTTGCATAGAGCGTCCTCACACCTTGCGGGCGCCCCAGCCTGAGAAAAGCAAACTGAAGACCTTCCAGATTGATTCCAGACCCCGCGTCTGCAACTCTGCAAATGGGGTTCAAATTCCTGCGAATACATAGATGCCCTTAATGATCCAAGGAATTAATGACTTTTGCAAATTATATACCATTCCTGTGAATGAGCGTGCATACAAGTTCCTATTTCGGACAGCTGTTGTTGTTGTTGCTGTTGCTCTTGGCAGAGTTTTTAGTGTGGAGCACGATCAACGGCCAGAAAACAAGCACAGTTTTCCGAGACAATTTTCGACATGCTTGTGCACGCGGCGCGCCAATGGCAAACAAAATATCGGTTTTGGCTGTCAGTGGAGTGCATGTGCTGGCGGTTCTTGCGGTGTTTGCAAAGATAGAGAGCGCAGGTTTAACGGGAGGACATTTTCTCGTCATACTAGCCAGTTCCAGACGTTGTTTACCAGGATTTGTTGGACTCGGTTGATGACTTGAACGTGGTTGACTTGGATTTCATGGACGAGGATGACGAGGGCTTGTGATTTGCTGGGTGCCATGTGCAAACAGCAGAGTGCCGTGTGGTCTTGAAGATCATTGGAATGCGAATGCTGGCCTGCGTGTACATTCTGTCTTGTAGAGATGCCAGCTTGGGCCAATGCCATGCCAGGATCAAATTGAGTGACGAGCGGACCTGGCAGGGCGTGTGTTGAATTGGAATGGATTTCCCCAAAAATGCGGCACTCTCCACAAATTCTCGGCTTTTCTCCCAAGCTTACCAGCTTGCGAGTTGTTCAGATAGGCAATCTGCTGTTTCTTCCCTAGCTTTGTTGTCCAGTAGTTATTCCTCCCATTGATTCCTATCTGCTGAAGCCATTGCACTTGCAGTCATTCAAAGGAGCTTGATTCCTGCAGCCTACGCTGGCCATTCCATGCTGGATCGTGCAACACTGTCTCAGGCAATCCATACTCTTTGTATACGATGTCCATCCTGGCCCAATTGCGTGACATCTAGCATAATGGCCCCGCCCACTCAAGTTTGCTCGGATTTGTTTTGATTGTTTTCTCTGTTTATTGAAGGTGGAAGAGAGGTGAGAAACTCAACTGACTGCTGATGTATGCCAAGACTTGTGCCCTGGATGAGGTGTCGGCCACGACGCCTGGAAGTATAGCCTTGGAGATGGAAAAATGTTTCGATGGCATCCTCGTAATGACTAGCCGTGTTGTGTCAGCAGTACACAGTGGCTGGTAGTTTCATTGCGCCGGCAGTCCCGAAAGTCCGTGCCTCAAAAATGTTTCGATGAAACGCAAGGCAATGCGACTCTAAATCTGGCCCCCCTCTCCAAGACTTTTCCATCGCGTTGATGATAGAGCAAGCCACAATGCTCTGCTGGTTCTGTGTCAAACATGGGCCGGCTCTGCGGCATAGCCTGCTTGGGCTCTAACAGCTGTCTGGAACAGATGGGCGTTTGTTATCAAATATATTGACGTGAGCTCACTGCACTGCAAAGCAGCGCACGCGGCACGGAAGAGCAATGCTATACAAATCAAGAGACCTGCAGACGCATCAGAGATTCGGCTCTGCACGTGGAAGCAAAGTGTTGAGAGCCGCAAGCTCCTTCCAGGCGCTGGTGAAGGGTCTCATGGTGTTTGGACAGGCGGGCCACAGACACGCAAGCCTTTAGCAGCATCTGCAAAAATAGTTTGAAAGCCTGCTGATGCTGCAGACATGCTTTCAGGTCAATGAATCCGATACGTACCTCGCTCATCTTTTTGAGGTGGCCTTTGTTTGCTTTCTGCGCTTTCTCGCTGGACATGGTGAGAGGATAATGCTGTTCTTATGCAGCGTGTAATTTTTGTGTGCCAAGTGAAGGCCGACCATCGCCGGCTTGCGAAGGAGGCGGTGAGGCAAGTACCTTGAGAAGCAGGTGGCTTGGTCGGAGTGGTGGCTCTGCCTAGGACATTCCAGCTTCCGGAGACTTCTCAGCGCGCGGCTGAGTCTAGTTGCACTGCTTCCGGCTGTTGAGTGTATGCTGCCGCATGATGCCCAGTGTTGCATATGCAGCCTAGGCGCTGTGTGACCAGCAAGGAGGATGCTGAGCACATGGTCCGGCTGGCCGAAGCTCTGCGGCAAGCTTGTGGTCTACTGCCATGCCGCTCCATCAATTGTTCGGTTAGGTTAGCCAAGACTGGGACAAGCTCGTGCCTTGCATGGCTGCTTGGAAACATGTGGAGGAACCTGCCTTGCCGTAGATCAAAAATCCTTCTTGCCACACCCATTTTCTGAGGTGATGGTACTTGGGAAACTTTCCGGCACCAGCACGGCTAAGGCCCTGCCGGTGAGGCTGTTTTGCACGCGCAGGCCGTGTGCAATGTTGCAAGGAGCCTGCCAAGTCGCCCAAGCAGGTTCGATTTCAAGATCTGCATGTTGGGGGACTTCGCTACTGCATGTACTGCCATGGAAGGCAACACCCGCAGGGGCTCGTGATGAAGCCAGGACGCGGCACGTTTGCGTGCTTTTAGAGCGATTAGCCTGTGCAATCAGCGCCGTATCCCTTGTGCCGTTTGGCAGGATGAGGCTGTTTCAAGATTCACCTTCCGTGGAAGATGAACCTGATAGCGAAGCATCAGAGGCCCGTCGGCTGCTGAACATTTGTGGATTCTGGAATTTCAAGGTCCTTAGAGACAGGAGACAGGTCTCTTCCATAATAGATGACCTCCATGGTGAGCTCAAAGCTGACATGGGATGAACAGGAAACACTCGCCCAAAATGAGCGCAGCGATTGTTCTACACGGGAGCTCTGAGTTCTTTCTATTTGGCTACTTGCACCCTAGCATTGAAACCACCATCCCGAGTCACAAGCCCAAGTCCTGAACACTAGTTGGTGGGTGGCAAATGCCAGCGGGCCATTTACATGTGCTGTGGCAGGAGCCAGAAGAACATGAGAGTTGCTGCCGATGTTGCAGCAGGCCTGCTGTTACGGCATGTGTGCTGATTCCAGATTCTGAAGAATGGACAAGGTCTGTGCAAGGGCAGGAGGGGCCATACGGATTTGGCGCAGAAGACTTTAGCAGACCGCTGTCTGGCAAAATCCATTCGCTGTCCGGCCTGTGCCGATTTTCAGTTGAAGGAACGCGTAGGTTTCCTCCATTTGTAGACTTGCTCCGTGAATAGCTGGCTGCGGAGGATCTGGAAATTGTCGAAATCCTGCTGCGAGGGCTCAGTAGATTCAACAGAAGGCAGGCTGATAATGCCCTACTGTTGCAGGTTACTGCCGAGGAACCGGAAGACAATACAAACAAACATACCATGCCAGCTTGTCTCAAGCTGTGACCTCTTGCCCAAGAATGCTCCCTTGAACCAGAGATGAGAAACTCTCTCGAGCCTGTGGCCTGTTCTGGGCATCTCCAGAATCAGTGAAACATGGAGTTAAACATGCTTGAACTGAGGCTGGCGCTTCTTTCAGGTAGGTACCCACATGTGGCCGCATTGTTCTCTATATAAGTATATGTATTTTTAGATACATGGAGCAATGGGCCGAGAATACTCTGACTGTAACCAAGAAATGCCGGTGGAAAGTGGAAAGCTTTTTTTGCCTGAGTTGTTGTCGGAAGGTGTCTGGTTTTGTTTGTGGCGGTGCTTCTTGGCATTTGGACTTCTGCTTGGCTGCTAGAGAACTGCCGCAGCCGTCTCAGACATGAAGAGCCACCGGAGCCGGAACTCAACAGCAAAGCACGCAGCGCATCGGCTGAGGTCGTGCTGGTCTTCTGCCGCTGCCTGCTCCATCGCCTGTACAGTGACGCGCCTGAGCTCAGAGCTCGGATCTCCATGTCTTCAAACAAGATGCAAACACGCAAACACGCGCAAGCTCAGCTTTAGAGATGACTGGAGACCAAGCTTTCCGTGAGCTCTTCACTCTTCCTTCCTTGAAGAGCGGAGAAGCTGATTCAATTCGCCCTCGGCGGTCACCCCCAGTTCATGTGCCGTCTCATCCGGGGTTAGAGGCATGAGAGGGGCAAAGAGCAAAAGCAGCGATAGGTGTGCGCGTGCGGGATGCCGCGTTGCATGTCTTGCCACTGTCTTGCCTGCTCTTTAAATGCTGAAGGACACCTTGCGAGACAACCCTGAGGTGAGGTTGGAATGCAGGGTTGACATGTCAGGAAGCTTCTCGGAGCCCTAAAATGGTTGCGCCCAGGTCATTGGGGAGTATGGTGCTCTGCTGGAGGCGCTTTTGAATGACGTGCTGACAGACAGGAAGGGTCTGTGACTAAGGTCAGCTGTCTAACAGTGCTGTCAGGCATGGTGCCGAGACATTGAGCGGTACCTTGAGGATGGATACCGCCTTGGAATCTCAGTTCTGGGTTCTCCTCATGCGCTTGCTGAGCTTGCACTCTCAGGTTTGGACCAGCACAGTCCCGTGCAAGAGTCCCGCCTCGAGTCAAAGCGAGTTTTGTAAAAAGTGGTTTTCTTTCTCTGCCAGGCCTGGTCCTCGCAGCGAACTGGAGTTTTGGCGCGGCCGCATGCAGAAGATCACTTCGATCACGGACCGCCCTTCAATTTTTTTCTCTCTGGTTGCTGGGTTCTGCAGCCATGAAAAACGCTTGCGCAAGGAGCAGTTGAAGGGTGCCGACCTTGGGGCTCGAGACTGCTGAGCTGCAGAACCATGAACAGCCATCAGCATGCCCGATGCACTCAGGACGGGAGTGTAAAGCAGTTTTCAACGTTCTGCATGCCCGCTACTCAGACGCGCAGCTTTTTCAGGACAATGTGCAGGCACACCTAACATTCAATGATGCCAGGAACCGTGTCTTTTGTTTTGCAGCCTTAGTGTCCTGTCAATTCATTACTCATTCCGAAAGTTCTCTGCCCAAGCAAAAGGCAGCTTGTGCTGAAAGATGCTCGGAGCGTTGCATGCCATGGCGTGGCGCATGGCGCAATGCGATGCCCTGGGCATGGCTATGTCTGGTGGGCAGCTGTGCTTGCAATCGGTGAGGCGCAGCTATACGAAAGTGCATGCTAGCGCGGTCGAGTGAAAATCAACCTAGAAGGCCTTGCTGCATTTCGCTCCCTTAAAAACTATGGTCACAAAGCAGGCTCAGGCGGACACAACCAAGCCGGCGAAGCACTCAGGCTCCTTGAATAAGGGTGCCATTTGCAAAAAAAGAGAAATCACTGGCACGCAGAGATATGCTCCGGTTTCACAGCCAGTCGCTATTCACATTAGATACGTGTTTGTGTGATACAAGAAGGAGACCCCGAACGATGAATTGTGGTGTGGGTTCAGACTTAGGCATCATGGGTCCAAACACAACATGTCAGCATGCGTGTGCCTAACCTTCATGGTGTGGTCCACGCATCCTGCCATGCTGCCTATCTGTGATTTGCTCCAGCCCGTCACCTTTGACATGTCGTCTAGACTTGCTATGATCTTCGCACTGCGCAAATCATTCTTCGCATTGTGGTTCGCAGTTCATGAGGGTAATGTTGCATAGGGCGGTAGCATTACGCACCGGCTGCTTTGCGCCAGCTGCATCACACAGGGTGTCATTGGAAAAGGTGCAGGGCAAACATGATTCTCCAGCCAGGACCTGTGTTGGCGTATTGCCCTCCAGTGCAGTTCATGGGGGTCATGCCTGCGGACTGCGAGTTGGAGACCTTGCTTCAGGCTGGCATCAAAGCAAACGCCTCGCACATCTTCGCATTATGCTTGTCTCAAGGAAGGAATGATGCTCAGCTTCTATGGGCACGTGGAGGAACTGGAGTGGTCCGTCGCAGACGCCAGCGAGGTGATTGAGTGGAAGGTATTAAGCTTACGGCTGCTTACCTTTCAGTTTCCATTTTGTGCTGCCATGCCCCTTGAGGCTGGACGCATTACCTTGGAGATTTCAAATGCGATGCTAAGCTTTGCCGAAAGCCTTCATCATCAACTTTGCATGGCCAGATTCAGGATTCTTGCGCTGCACGGGGAGTCTTGCGGTGCTTTGTTACGGTTGCAGCATGGTGCAGCACGTCTCGTACAGATGAGCTGCCGTTAGCATGCGGGCTTCGCGTCTCTCCGAACTCCCACCGCTCAGCAAAGCTAGCACGTAGATCTATAGCCTGCCATTGTATGTAGACTTACTGATGGATGGGCGCTGCTCCCCGTAGGTATGCCTATCTGCGGCAATGGAAGAAGCTGAAACATGTTTGCACATTGTGATAACGGGTCCTAACAAGTCAGGACGACGGCAGGGCTGCAGGGTCTAGATTGCCTTGCCCGGTCACAAATGGCCTGAGCACGACGCCCTCCTGGTGTCCTACCAAACCCTGAGTTAACATTCCAGATCACAATACCGACTGGGCATGACACGCATTGCAGCACATTTTTTTTCGCAGATTTCTGAAACGCCAACCGGAAGGTCCTCACATGCAAGGTGCTAAGTATCTTAGGGCAGCGCGGGCGCTGAGGCCTTGTGATCTACTGTCAGCATTCATTACTTTCGTCAGAGATGTGCGCAATGTGCCTTGCTATGGTGTATGTCGCAGTTAGCGCAAGCCGCCCTGTCTGAAGCGGAGGTGCGTGTACCCAACGAAAGAGGAGTTTGAGTTGGCCTGGAACTTCTCTTGCGCGGCTCGGCGGCATTCTGCGACTAGATTGGTTGTTGAAGAATCAATCCCGTTTGGAGGAGCAGATGCTGGCACGTGCGCCACCCAACTTCCCATGGCTATCAGCGCAGCCATGTAGTGCCGGCAATGAACTGATGGCCACTTGGAATGAAGGACTCCAAATCCACTAGCGTCTCTTTTGATGACCGCTGATTTTCACTGCGGATGAGATCATGTGATTGATGGGTGTTCCTTGTACGCAGTGCCCAGGAGGTCATGGGATTGGTCATGAACAGGATCCAAGACGCCAACTTTGGCCTGCCCGGGCGGGCGGCCCAATATCCGCCAGACGAGCCTGTGCTGCAAAGTTGAGAGGCAGTTGACTTTGTCGGCATTTACGACCCGCTGCGAAGGTTGCTCCAGTCTGTGAGTCTGTGGCTGCTGCGGACTTCAGCCGCAGGCACTGTCTTTGTCGTGGTCCGGCCAATTCCAGCAAGCCTGTACTGGTATATACTGGTATGATGTGACGATTCAGGGCTGAACCAGGCACGATTACTGAACACCTCGAACAAAACGCTCAACACTGAAAGTGCGCAAGACACTGCAACAGCTTGCTGTGTTGCCAGGTGGCCCTTCGCTGAACTAAATGGGTCGCTCAGAAGCAAATGTTTCAGAATACGAATTGTCGTATCGCATGATGGCCATTCAGTAATATGCAGTTGCCTGCACCTTGGTTCCAAGCTTGCAGACCTTAGTCTTGACGGAATGACTTGAATTACTTGATCTGGCAGAGGACTTATGGCCAATACTTGGTATCGACAGCGCAGCAGCCTTTCGCTGATGTCTTGGACCGCTTTCGCGTGCTAAACAAGCTGATCCCCTCGGAGCTTGTGGTAGTAAACCTCGGAGCTCACGATGGAAGCTGCCGTGGTGGCTCAGCCGTCAAGGATGTCATCAACGATGTCGCAAACTGTGCGTTTGATTTAGGAGCTCGAGGAGTCGCTGTGGAGGGATTGGAGCTGGCAAGCACTCTGGAAGGCCGCTGGCCAGGTGTCATCGTCCATGCCGGTTACGTTTCTCCGTCCAATGTGAGCCGGGTGGTGGAGGATGCCTTGTTCCGACTAGAAGCCTGGCGCGTGGATCTCTTAAAGATAGAGTCTCAGCTGCATGGCTCCATTTGGGCTTGCATTGGTCTCAGGTCCAAGAAGGCGGCAGGCCCAAAAAAGAAATTCCAAAACACCATAAACTGAAGAGCCTGCAGGATGAGCCCCTTTTTTTAATGAAACCTCTGTGTCACCTGAATTTGCAGTACACCTTCTAATCCCTGAGGGTTGCCCTCAAAGCTTGCTCCACAGCCTCAATAAGAACAGAGCAGCCGAATTTTCTCGATCTCAAAATCGCGTTCCTGACGTGTGGCTAAGAAGAGCATGGCGCAGAAACCAGATTTGATGGCTTGGTGCGTGGGCAAGCGAAATTCATGCGTCAATGGGTCGGAGGCGGCTGTAGCAACTAGCAGCAGCTAAGGTAAAGTAGCGAAAGGCCAAGCGGTGACCTCTTGCCAGGTTGATCTCTTGGACTCGTCTAGGCCATCTGGGACCTCCTTGGACCCATTGCCGTTGGGAGGTTTAGCATCCAGTGGTGTAGAAAAATGAAAAAGCGCAGCCGCTCGTGGCCGCCGTCTTGTGCCGGGAATTTGCAGGCAGCCCATAAGCTAGACATCTGGCGTTGTCTGCTGACTCCTTGAGCATGTCCTGAAGAAGACAGATTCCCGTCCGTTTGGGCACAGAGTGGATAACCCCCGCGCGGACCACAGCAGCTGTTCACGCGTGTTCGCGCCATAGCAATCAGGAACAAAAATGCAAAACAAAAACGCGCACGTGAAACTTTGAAACGACCGAATCAGACCAAATCAGACACCTTTTGAATCCGCAGCCGAAACTTCCGTACCGACATCAGAAACATTCAGAAACACTCTGAGGAGTAAATCCAAGATTGGACCTTCAGCACTTATCTTGCATGTTGGGACAGCGGCCCTGAGACGGGAGGGAAACTGAGGCAGTCATAGCCATAAGACCCCCCCTCAAAACAGACGCTGCGCTGACCAAATTCAAGAAATGCCACCCTCCCCTCATACCTTCTCATTGTGCATCTGAGCCAGAGATAGTAGAAGCCAAGTAATCACGCGCCTTGCCAATACTACGAGGTCCTCGTCAGCAAGTGGACCTCAGTAACAAACAAAAGAGCAACATTCCTCGGCTGAGGATTTCTTAGGCACACATGTATGTGCAAGACGGCCCCAACCTTCTTGCTTTCCGATTCAAGTCCCTCAGTTGATGCAACGGCACTCACTCGCTAACTTGCATCTTTGATGTCGGACACAAACCTTACTAACGACGAAGACGGTGGCCACACTTCGCAGACGGGGCAGGCAGGTGACTGTTGCAGGTTTCATCGAGAAGAATGATCACAAGACATGAGAGAAAGTAACAAGATCAGACCGGAATGACGTCATGGCCACATCTCAGATATCTCAGGACCTTGATCACGCGGATTGCTTTTTTGCAGAGGCTCTCCTTCGAAATGGTCGTTTTGCGCAGCCGACGTTCATGGTTGTTGAATACAATCGGCTTTTTCCGCCGCCGATACGTTTCCGGGAGCGCTTCTCAGAAGGCAAAGCCGGGCGGATGGGAGTGGCCTGGATGGAGGGGAAGCGAGAGCAGCATTGGTCAGGCTGCAGCATGCAAGCTTGGCACGACTTGGCAGCCGCTCATGGCTACCAGCTGTTGCAGGCAACTCTCTTTGATCTGAATCTTGGAATCAAGCTTAGCATGCTCAAACGTTGCGGGGGCATCGGTTCTACACTGCTCGGGCCAATAGAACTTGTGAACGTCCGTGCGGAAGCCAAGGACTTTCATTCATGAGGATTGGCAGCATATGGAGCTTGGGCTTCGTGCTCAGGCTGGATGGCCGTCCTCAATCTTCCAGACATGGCTGTCTTCTGCCTACTGCTTTGCTCCGTCGCGCCGGCTCTATGGTCATCAAGCTTTCGCGAACCTGGACCTCCGAGCTCTGCCTGAACTGTCTGTGGATGATCGATGTGAACTGGCCACAAGATGGTGGAGGTCAGAGGGTCAGCAATCTCACTCAGATTCTCGGCTGGCAAGGAACGTGATTCCATGCATTTCCATGCACAGTGTGTGTTTGAACCGCACAAGGCTGTGAATCAAAAATGCTGGGTTTCAAGTTTGGGCGGCCATTTCTCGGCAAAGGCTTGTAGCAGAATGTCCTGGCTTGCGACGAGCTCTTTTGCGACCAGCTTTTTCCCTAAAACCCCTCTCAGGTTGGGTTGTTCTAGTTTCTTAACGGGCTGGCAGCGATACGGAATGCCATGCGGTGCGGACCGGTCGCGGAGGGTTGGGCGATTGCGGTGAGGTTGGTCGCGGAGGTGGGTCGCGTGCGGCGCGGTGCGATGAATATGGGATTATATAGGTCATGGCGCGTGGTGGTGGTCAGGAGGAGGGTGGCCGCGAGGACAGGGTCAGCACGGGTGGTGATGTGGCCATGCAGAAAGGAGACTTGCTGCTTGGTCCGTCACTTTCGGTGCAGCCAAAGACAGTGTTTCAGCTTCGTGACAAGCAAAAGCTTCTCAATTGAGCGCAGCAGAAAGCAAATGTAGACAATGTAGACCAGAGTGTACGGGTGCCTTTGGACTCTACGTAGATGCCGGAAAACTGTAGTTCCTACAGCAGTAGGAAAACTTGAAGTCAGTAAGTCGCCATGAAGCACTCGCTGTCTGCGTCTGAGGAGTAAAAGAGCAACTCAGGAGCTGTTCTGCTGAGAGCTTGGACAGTGACCCCGATTTTAGCAGATGATCATGGAGCTCACTTGAGCGGAGTGCTCCGTTTCGGGTGGAATGAGCTTCTGTGACGCACCTCAAGCTGGAGATAGTCGAAGGAGAGTCAAGAGGCCAGCGCACCTTGGGACCTTGGAAAATGTGTCATGGAGCACGGCCTTCAGATCTCCGCATGGCAGGGTGAGTCGTCAAGATTTCCCTGAGAGGCTTGAACCGCGTGAAAAGCGCAAGGTAATTCCTGGTTCATGGTCCTACGGAGAAGTGCAATCTTGCCTGCCAGCATCGCCAAATGAGTAGTATGTCTTGCTTCATGCAGCCGTTGCTATTCTTAGGAGGGGGATGTGGCAACGAGGCTGTGACGCGTCATGGAGGAAGCGACGTGGCCCCAAAAAGTGGCACGCCCAGGCTGCCATGGCAGATCGTATTGCTCACAGATTGATTCGTGCCTAGGCCGTCAAACGGTCTTCAACACCCTTCGACGCTGGAAGCAAATCGATCGATCCCTAGACTTGTTTCCTTGCAATGTCCAGTGGAGTGTTGCTGTAGCCGCTGTAGCCGTTGGCCGTGTTGCCATGGTGATTCTGGAGGACATCTCCATCACGGAGGCCTTCAACGAAGCGAAGGCGGGACGCTTTCCTGCATTTTCTAGCAGAACCACTCCGCACACTCTTAGTGCCCAAGGATAACGTGAAGTATCTCACAACGCTTGAAAAGTTCATTGAGCCTTTGTACTCGGGAACGCCGCCCCATCCTCGCTTTGCGTCACCTTGTGAGACCTCAGTGGCCAAGGGTGCGCAATGCCTCCATCTAAAATCATGAGGTCGCAGATCATCGACACTCTGCCCTCGCTCCTGAATTCGGCAGCTTGACTAGCTTGCTCCAGCTACACGGTATCCAGCAAGACCATGTGCGAAATGAATGCGTGCGAGAGGTCACAATGATCCACACCATTGCGAGATACTACAACACGACGCTGCCTCAATAATGAACCGAATCTCTCAAGGCGTCCAACACAACAGTCAGGTCAGAGCGCATTACCAACCTTTTCTCGAAGATCACAAACCAGATGATCACCAACTGCAAGGCGCAAGCTTATGACCTGGCAAAGCTGTGGTTTTGTTGCGTATCATGTATTTGCAATCTGACATGGCCCACGTTCCAATCATTGGCCACTGTCTGGCAGACTTGCATCATCGGAGATTGCGAGGATGCGTCGCAGTTGTCCACTGAGCTTGCCAGGAATGTGCAACAAATCTTATGCTTGTTTGATGGTTCGAGGCTTTGGGAAACGTATCCTCCGGACTTGATTGGTCACCTGGATATCTGTTTGAAGCTGAACGAATCGTCGGGTGCTCATGGCAACATCTTGGCTCAATTTGGCCGTTTGCATCTAGCTACGCTCATGCAGAGTAGCGACCAAGCGTCAAACGCCACCTGGTGTGCATCTCAAGGGCCTAGGGCTGTGTGCAAGCCAGAGGTTACCATAGCTGCGTTGTTGGCATGGCAGAGGCAACGACCAGCCAAAGGGTAAGGCAAACGACTGAAGTACGAAAGCTTATGGTTTGCCTCCTGTTTGTCAGGCATTTTGCAGACAGGGGTTGAATCACGACAGTCTTCAGGTGTAATGAGAGAAAGTGCATGCGAAGAGGCCATAATCAAACTGCCTTGTGGACTTGTTGGAATTCATATAAAGCCATGCTGACGCAGTTTCTGAGTTAAACTCACTCAACACTTCGAATCTCAGAGCTGCTGGCATCATGCCGCAAAACTAGGAATGCAAAACCAGACCGAATCTACCCATTTTTTTTAAAGCTCTCGGTATGAAGTGCAAAAGCCTGGTTATGCAGCTCAGTCTGCAATGTGCTTGTAACGAAAGCAAAGAGCCACGCGGCTGTGTGCGTGTTACCCTGTTTTTCGAGCCTGTTTCTTTTGTGTCTGCAATCCAACAAGTCTCGGTCAGAGTTTGGATGAGCTGCGGGCAACTCATCGAATGACTTCTTCCTTTGCAATTTGCACATCAAGATTACTGCCGTAGGGGCGCAGTTGCCATGATTTTTGAAGGGTGGGAGCAGTTTGATGTTTCTTGCAGCTCTTGCGCTTGAATAGCGGCACAACAGAAGGGAACAGGTTTCAAAGGCTGAAAAGCAGCCAGTGGCATGAGTCACACAGTCACATGAATGCGCATGGTACCTCTACATTCTTTTGCATTGTGGTTGCGCAAGCGGTATCATCGCATCAGCAGCACTACGCAATATGGCTGTCTTTCAGCCCAAGTGCGCGTGCAATGCCAACTTACTGTCGAACGCGACGCGACGTGCGGCACGATCTGTTGGCCCATCAGTTCTGTGTCCATTCCTGGGCAAACCTCCTGTTTGCCCGTGTTTTGCCAAGCAGGAAATACTGCAAGTAAGGACGCTCACGGAGACAGACAATTTTCTGCAGGGGCTTGCGGTCAGATTTTTTGCTAGGAATTGGAATAGTGAATTGAATAAGGGTTTCTTCAATTGCTTTCCGCGGATGATTCCATGCTGAACCTCCTCAGGTCAGCGGCAGAAGCTTGCTAAGCGCAAGTTTGTTGGGATTTTCTTTGCGCCTGTGCAACATCCAAAGGCCGAGACTAATTCAAAAATTGTCAGTATACAGCAGCAGACAACAGCAGGGGCGGGGCAAGGATGTGCGGCATTTTGTTTCTTGGTGTAAGGTACCAAGAACAGTACAACCTCACAAAGAACAAGCTGATGACTTTGCCGAAGGGAAAGCAGTCAGGTACCCAGACCTTGCTGTTTCAATGACCACTTGCTGGATCACGGCCCTGAGGTTTGACTTCAATGAGAGTTTGATCTTTGGGCGCTTCGATCTTTTCTGCCGCAGGGTTGTGAAGCTCATGCACATGTCTTCCTCTTATCATGCGGTTCCTTCCGAAAGTAGGCCGTTCTAGCTGAAGATGAGCGTGACCTCAAAGGTTCAGCACCATCCACCAGTTCAATCAGCTAAAGATTCACTTGAAGTCCATGGATGGGTAGTCGCCTTAGCTCACTCAGATACAAACAGCCAGAAGCTGTTGCTTTACCTGTTCAGAAGTTTCCAGGATTCATCAGCTGGTGGGCTCATTCCAGACAATTGTGGATGACTTCAAGGTGAAGAGCCATGCACGAGCCACAGCATCTCAACATCCATGCCTCTGTGCTGGAGTTCCCGTTTCCAAAGGACCTCCTAGACTTCCTGAACAATCGCTTTGACAGAGACTATGTTGAGTCCTGCAGCCTGTATTCTCAAAGTTCAGTTGCACTCAGGAGGGTACGGTTCGCGTGTGTTCGCTTCTCACACAGCAAGGAAATTGAGTTGGGTATGGCTGCTGGGTAGAACATGCCAGGTTCAACGTTCGCATCAGCGAGCTGGAAAGCGCACTGCAGGCGCGGCAGAGTTTAGGGTAGTCTGTCGGCAGGATCTCTGCCGGGCAGGCTGTAAACGTTGAATCCTCGCTATTAATCACTGCATATCACTGCCAGTTTTGTCAAAACCATTTTGCCTTGTGCATTGTGAAAACATGGCACTTTGTTGAGCCAAATTTTCATTAGCTTTTTTCCATGGTCTCAGAAGTACGTGGTTGAGCTGCCGTCGTGTGCGTTTTAGGATATTCCCTGTTTCGCTGTTGCAGGATTTCATCAACCAGTCCTTCCAGAACATCGCGCTCTTTCGCTTAAAGATGTCAGAACATGTTCAATTGACTTGCAGGGCAGTGATTCTGGCTTATGTCGGGCATGGGCGGCAGCGCTGTAGACGACAGACCGGTGATTGGTACTGCAGGTCGATTGATACATCGCTGAAGCTGCTCAGCAAGTTTCAGAGCACCTTGGTGTCAACATGACTTTGCTCTGCATCAACAGCGTTCCAAACAAGACGCCCCAGCGCTCTGCCAATCGCTTTGCTACTTCATACTCGGCCGTCAGGCATCCTGCAACATGGGAGTGCTGCCCTGAAAAACGGGAGGAGGGCCTGCGCCTGCAGATTTGTGCAAAGAAAGGACATTTGGCTCCAGCCAAAAATTTCCCACCTGGGAGTTTCTGTTCAAGCAGCAGGTTTGGTGGACTGAAGCTCGTTGAGCCCAAACTCGTCTCTTGTAGAATTGGCGCCATGGCTGTGAGACCTGAACTGATTTGCCTGGTGGTCCTGTCAGCTGGCATGGAACCTGACGTTTCCTGGCCGCCTGAAGAAAATCACATCCAGCTTTTTGATGACTTGGGCGAGTTATCCTTCCCAGTGGATGCATCCGGCCTGGCGCAGCAGAACCGCAGCTGAAGTTATCAACCTGCTCTGGCAAGAGGTTTTGCTTAAGGCTTAACAGCAAGCATGACTGCTGCTGAGGTACTTTGACCAGGGCTTCAGATTTACCGCAGCATTTGACTTCCGACGAGCCGTAATTTCCTTCCGCTCCGCGCAAGCTGTGGACCCGGCGTGTGTGATGTGCGTGTGGGCTGAGGGCCTCGCTCTGGGCCCAAATCTAAACAGCTTCGATGAGCCCAGGCTTTTAAAAAGCCTCCCCTTGGCCCACGCCAAGGCTCAGCAAGCAGCTCAAATGAGCAAGTCCAAGCTGGATGACGGAGTCTGGAATAGCAGCAACGTTGTCGAAAGTGGGCTGGTTCGTGCACTGTTGGCTAGGTACAGAGCATTGCCTGAAGAGTATGTGGCAGAGGAACAGGGTCTGACACATTCCTTTGCTCGCGAAATGATGCTGGTGCTTGCAGATAGCGGCGGGCCGAAAGCGAACCCCAACATCGCTGCTCTGACCGCTGATGCCTTGATGAACACGCAGCCATGGAATTATTGGATTTCCCCAGGATATCCGAGGCACGAGGCGCAGCAAGCACTGCGCATTCTGGAGACTGCGTTGGCGAGCCATCCCAAGCACCCGTTTTGTGTACATTTGTATGTTCATGTTACAGAGGCCAGTGGCAACCAGTCCCTTCTGCGCTTGGCGCGACCATTTGCAGAAATCTTACCTTCATTAATGCCGGGCGCCCCCCACTTGGTGCACATGAGCTTTCACACGCTCATGCACACTGGAGACTTCCATGCGGCTGATATTGACAACGGACGTGCTTCCTCACTTCCTCGACAAATCTATCCCATGCATAATTTGGACACGCTGTCATGGGTATGCCGCATTCAAGGTCGGTCGGCTTGTTCTATAGATGCTGCTAAATCATTGGAGCATTTAGCTCTGCGGCTGGCCACTTTGGCACATTTAAAGACCAAGCCTGCGCATGATTTGTTGGTTGCAGTCAGGTAGACGCCCAGGCAAACAACATGACATGGTATGACTTTCGTAAGTGGTAAATAATGTCAAGATTTTGCTTTGTTTGGTGTCCTGGTTGTTTGTTTGATTTCTGCTCCTTTTCTTAATTTTGTTGCTGCTTTCTCTTTGGTGGTGGGCTGGGGTTCTGAAATGTGACTAACCTCCACGGGAAGCGTGATTTCGAGCCAAGAGCACACGGCCCTCCACGCGAGAAGAGCTATTTTTAGTTAAAGTCTGATGATGGTCCACCAGAAGGAAAGAAAGAAATAAGCCAAAACAAATCATTACTGCAGAGACCTTCTTCATAACGTTCCCAAGGGGTGTGGGACAAGCATTGACAAGCCCATGGGGCTACCCTAAGAGCGGCTTATCATGAGTGGATCACCATGCCACCCCATTCAGTGCGTATACCCGAGCTATGGGCATCCGACTACTTGCAGAAGCTATGTACACTTACTTAGAGCGGCATGGTTGATAGCACGTTACTGGGCATGTGCACTCTATGACATGCAGAAGTGCGGCATTTACACCGAGCTGCGGGCGCTTCTTCCCCCAATCCATGTCTGAGCAGCATCCTCAGCAACGCATTCCATCTTCGCCGCCCAACATCCCTGCTGTTTCCCAAAATTTTTAACTGTAAGGTTTCTCCATTTTTTAAAGACATGGCCGGGTGTCTGGAGCAATTGTCTGCCTTCGTCTCCCTTCAGGTGATAGCACCTGCTGCATCCTGCTGGTATAATTTCTTTGAAGCGAACAGAATATGTGGACATCTCATGAAAACGAAGAAAAGGCGACACGTTTTCATTTTCGCTAGTGTGTTATACATGTGGACTGGATCCGTGATTCTACTTAGATTTCCGTTAAATGACTTCATATGGATTCCCTTGTAAAAGCCTTGAAAACATCAAGAAAACGCGAAAAGAAGGGAAGATCCACAATTTCTTATGAGCATTGAATCGCCTTAGCATCCCGCTGGTGATGACAAGGGGGATCTGAATTAGTCCGATCTGAAAGTAGTCTTGGCCCTTTTAGCAGTCGTCCTCGGAGATCTTCCAGGATTTTGGGATTTTCTGGGTGCAGTATCTATTATGAAGGGATGAAGGGGGTGTATCTTCAGGGGGAAGCGATCATATAGCATCATTAGTCAGAGTCGCTGTTCGATTTTCTCGCGCGGGGCATCCTCATACTTTGGCTCAAAATCGTGTCGTCACGCCGAGCGTCCTCGGAGATGAGTTCGAAATCACGCTCCCCGTATTTGATGCAGAATTACGAACTCGTGTTGTCGAGACATTGCTCTCACGTGGATCATCCTCACACTTTGGCATGCCACCCCACCACCAAAAGAAGCTTGACTTCCATCGCTTAGTCTAGAAGTTCCTGGTAATGTAGCCGCCTCAGCATCCGAGGTCGGCAAAGGAGTTTTCGAGACTGGGTTTCCACCTGCCCGGTTTGCCTCGGTTTGGCCACTGACTTTGCTGGCATTTGGGCGCTTTTTTGAGATCACTTCCGCGCAGATGCCCGAGCAATGCGATTCGGATCCTTTTCTTGCTGGCATCTGGTCTCGAACAGATGCCGTTCTGCTGTTTCTCAATTTCTTTTTGCAAGCTGGAAGGCATTTGGCATTTCGCGAGGGGAGCTTCCTTCGCCAAGCTTGGTTTTTCTGGTCGGTCACATGAAGCACTCCGGCACTTACAAGTGGAGCAGAACCTCATCTGCAGGTGTTGTAACCACAGATTCATTGCGATGTTCAGGGTTCGAAGATGCGATAATGCTTTCGCCACGGCCAAGGCTTCGCGTTCAAGCGAGAATGGCTATTCCACCAGGCATCGCCTGGCGCAACTTCAACGGAACGAAGGCGCGCATGTTTGGAGTCGGGCTGGGCCGCTTTTGGTTGATGTGTGCCACAGGACTGGGCGGTCTATCCTGCAGATAAGATTCTCTTCTTGGCCAGCCTGGAGCTCAAGGCAGTCATGGCCAGAGAAGAGGGAAATCAGCTGGCAGAGCTGGCAGCGTGGAGGGAAGCCCTCACGCTGGAGGCCTTGAGAGAGAACCTGTAAACGTCCCAATGGACTCATTGACTCATGCTCAGCCCGCGCGCTGATAGGTGAATCTGCCGTACGATGAGCCGCCAGCCTGGTATCTGCCAACCGCCAACCGTGCTGGTGAGGCTTTAGCTACGTTGGGTCACACTGCGGAGGCGGGAAAGGGCCATTTGCCGCTCAGGCCACTGAAATGGACAAAGTTTAATAAAGATCTCTGAAGGGATTCTGCCAAGACAGCCAAGGCGCAAAGAGAGTAGTCGTAGATGCTGGTACATCCCAATAAGAAAGCAGCACGTGGTGTCTTGCCCTTGCCAGCAGTGAATGGGCTTCAGAGAAGGCCCTTGAAAGACGGACTGCCTGAACAGCATTGAAGTCACTTGTCTCGTGTCTGAATAAATGGGCGGTGACACTTTCGGGAATGCATGTTGCTGCTTACTTTTGGGATTTTGCTTCTGGCCTTGCTGCTTCCTGCCTTCTATTTTCGGCCTCCGCTCTCTGCTTTGTCTTCTTCCTGCTTCTAGCTGTGGCTTTCTGCTTCTTGCTTTCCTGCTCCCTGCTCTCTGCTTCTGGCCTCCTGCAATCAGTGCTAAAGCTGCAGCAACCAGCAGTAGTGACATTACAAAAACATGTGACAATACCGCTGTTGCAACTGCTGTTCGCACCTTCAGGGGTTGATTGCTATTGTTTTGCCATTAATTACTGTTATTGCCATTGCTATCCCTACTCTGATTACAGTCACTGTTGTCGCTGCTGTCATTGTCATTACAACCCTTGTTCTTGTGATTCCAACGTTCCGTAGGATTTCTGTTAACGTTTCTGTTAACGTATTGCTTTTGCTATTGAATGAGTCTTGTTATTGTGTCGATAAATGTGAGTCTTAACCACTGATACCAATACCACTGCAATCCCTTCTGTTTGTCTATGCCATTGCTGCTGCCATGGCTTTGACAGTTGCTCTTAATTATGCATCGCAAGTGTGACTTTACTTTTGATTTTGATCTTGCCCTTACTACTTTTACCTTTAGCATTGTCACTGCTACTAGTACTCCTGTTACTATTATTCATACTCTTCCTCTTATGATTTTCCCACTACTACTGTGGATGGAGGAAATCTTGCACCACCTGCATACTAAGCATTTTCAATGACGCGACGACGCATCCCCGCACTCCCTTTTTAACATTGACAACTGTTCTGTCTGAGGCGGTGCAAGATTTCCGTCGTGGGAACAAATTTGCTTCTGGAGGCTTTCAATGCCAATGTTAAAAAGGG